CGTCTGCTAGCCCAGCACAACACTGATCACAGAGCATACAACCTGGAAAGCCTGTAATATTACCTTAGAGGACCTTAGAATTTATATAGGCTTTCTATCAAACATTCCCCTGAAAAACAATGTTTTGCTGCCAAAAGCAGCCACGTATTTCGGCAACAAAATCAGCCTGTGTCTATTTACAGCTTTAAGATACTACATTTCAAGGAAACCATCTCTCTACACATCCTTGTCAGGTGGTCTCTTTGTGCTTTGTCCTCTCATTTGTGGCTGCCCTGCAGTCACCTGCCCAAGCAGAGTGAGGATGAGATGCAGTTACGGAAGTGACTGTGTTTGTCTCCACATGTGAGATATGGCACATCAGTGCTCTGGCAGGGATTTCCCACAGTAAGAAAATGTATTCACATAACTCTATTGAAGAGAGAAAAGAAAAACCTGAAGCACTAGAAAAGCCATGCGGGAGAAAAATACAGCTTTTGCTAGAGACAAATTGTAATTCAATTCTAAAAAACAGCAGACACTTCTACTTGTTTACTGAATTGTTACCAGAAGTCTGATTAAATATTCTAAACAAAAGGTTCTAATAAGTGTTTTAACCTCTGTTAAAATGTATTAAAACACGTCTTACAGAATTGAAGAGTTCCCTCTTCAGCCAACTTTATGGATGATGAAGTATTATCCCAGTAATAATGTGGGTTTTTTTGTTTGTTTTTTTTTCTCTCAATGAATAAAATATAGCTAACTTAGACTTTCATTAGTTTGCTATACTCAAAATCCCAAAAGAAATATAAAAGAGTTACAAACGATTTTTTATGACTCTGACTCCAGGCAATCCATTAGTGATGCACTTCTGCCTGTCAATATAGCCAGGCATTGTTCAGGTTTGGCAGTGTGTGCCTTTCTGGCACGGCAATAAATGTATGTTACAGAGGTTCCTTGTATGCTACACTACTTACAAATATTCCTTCTTTTTTTTTTTTTTTTTCATTTATCACAGCAATTAAGAGAAAAGGCAACAATTCAAAAGGTAGCAATTCAAATTCTAACCCATTTTCTCAATTCTGCTTCAAATATAAGGGGTTAAAGCGAACAAACTGAATTCACTGTACCTTCATTTTTCTTGATGAGTAAATATCTTTTCCACTTAAGGATCATTACAGACAATGTGTGCCTACATAAGTGTGCACGAAGGAAAGACAAAGAATGCATTTTTTAAGAAAGGCTCCGGAGGGGGTGTGAGCAGTGCCCTGGATTACCCTCAAAATGTGCAGATGACCATTACCAAAGGAAGTGGAAGGAACAGCATGTTCACCAATTGCAGAGCCAGAAATAACAGAAGCCACACGTTCAACAACAGCCATATGACTACAGGCAGGCTCTGACTGGGCACTTCCCATTCAGGATTAACATAACATTTATGTGAAGCAGAAAAATGCATCTCACTTACCCAAAAGCTGTGTATTTCTCTAAGAAGAAATTTCCAAAATGGGAAGCAATACCTCTGGCTTCCTGATTGAACAGACAGACAAACCCCCAGACTAGAAGCACTAGCTGTTGAAGAGGGATTTGAAATGCATGGAGGTATGCCTTGGGTCTGATCCTAAAGATCAGCATCCTCAGCTCACAGCACAAGGAAAAGATCTGACTGGCACTGCACTCCTATTCACAACATCATTGCTGCCCAAAGTGAAACAGAAGAGCGAAAGTGCGGCAGATGGTTGTGAGGCCCAACACTTAAGGATCCTCAGTGTTTGCACACACAAAAAAATGTCTGCAAAATGCTAATCAAATACACCTCTTGGATAACAAAGGTCTTCAAGATATCTCAAGCAACACACATAAGAATGAGACCAGAGTCACTCATTACTCCCAAAACAAACCTCGCAGTTTTATATGTTTTTAAAATTTATGTATGAAATTCATTTAATGTTTTCTATTACTCTTATTTTGTCCCAAAGTGACTACAGTACTAAAATCCACAGGAAAAACCTGCATTTTCACTTTATCTTATAAAGTTGGGTCTCTTCAAAAGATAGAAAAGCACAGAGCAGGGGCTGGGCAGAGGGGAGTTCCAGACTGATCACAGCAAGAGGTGGCTGACTGTTCCTCTGTCCCTGGTGAAAGAAGCCCCAAAAAGAGAGGAACCAGGTGTGAGCCTGGTTCCTCCTCAGAGGGCACTTCAATTACTGCATGAAATTAAATGCCAATATAAAGTATATAAACTGTGAGTAGATGAGGGCTTGCTCCCTACCAGGAACTGCTGGCTAACTGCCCTGCTTGAGCCTTCAAGGAGAGACCTGCATGCCAGGCGAGAGCACTGGAGAACAGCTCTGTGCTGCTTCAAGATATGATTGCAGGCCTTTGCAGCAAGCCCTCCCAGCAGGACTAGGACTGTGCAACTCCAGGCAGAGTGCCCATCTCTGCACCCTGCTGCAGCCCTGTGGGCCTTGGCCTCCTGCTGTCCATGTGTCCATGGGTGTGAATAAAGACTTTCTGACTCCAAAAAGAAGATGCGAAGTTTCTAGAATAGACCAACTCCTCAGCTGTGTCTGGACAGGCGATCTGGGCCAGGAGGCTGCCAAGGAGCACTTCAGCAGCCTGACAGGAAAGCTGACAGTGCCAGTGCTCAGCCCTGCCTCTAGTATCAAACTTCTGCTGTGACAGAGATGCCTCTCTATGCACTGGTCCCACCACCCAGTTATTTTCTTCATCTTGTTGCAACATTTTCATTTTCATGCAGTTTTCCAGTGGACAGGCTTCTATTCAGATTTACTGACAAGTTATTAATTCAGGGAAAAAAAAGTACAAACATGAAAGTAATATAAAGCAGCCTAACTAAGGTGATGGCGTGTATGAACAAATCAAGGCCAAGCAGGTCAGGAGAAAGGGCCCCAGAATGCAGTGTTTGCCAAAAGCCACTGAGGTGCCCCAGAATGGTTGCTCTGCTGAGGCAGTCCATGATCCTGCCACCGGCAGCCACCCCCAGCTGGGCACTCACCTGCACTGTGCCAACATGGCAACGCTTTGCTTTTCCCCTGTCAGCACTCCTGCCAGTGTCTCAGGGACCTTCCCGAGGCAGCACAGCTTGAAACCTCTTTACAGGAAAGACAAAGTGGCTCTGTGGTGCTGCAGGACAGATAGCCTGTGTCACTCAGCACAGGCATCTCCCGTATTCCCCAAGTTAAAAGGAAGCCTCTCCCAGTTCCTCCTGCCTTTCCCTCGCACCAAGTACAATGTGATGCAGCCGCCTGCCCCACGGCCGGGCTCATGCTCCCGCATACCCCCAGCTTCGCTAAGCCTGAGGAGATTATGGTGCAGTGGACGCAGAGGACAGAAGGGGCTGGGGAACAGGTGGCATCGGGAAGGGAACCAGAGGGTCATGAGGTGACCGTCACTGCCCTGTGGATGATGGGCCACCGGCCGTGTGACAAGCATCTTCTCTGAGGTGCCGGTTGGCTTCTCAGAAGATCTTTTAAAAAATAGTAATAATTAAGCAACCCCCCTTCTTTGGAAAGCACCGATCACTGCTGTGCCCGCAGTGAGTACCGCGGGGCTCCCGTCCCGAGGCAGTCTTCGCGGCCCTTGACAGCTCTCTAATACCCACCGAAACAGGGAAAGGCCGACAGAAGGATGGCCAGTCCTGCTGCTCGGATAACGCAGCACGGAGATACCACGCAGGAGGGGGCACGGCAAGAGGGCAGCAACGACCGCGCTTGTGGGACACGGAGCTGGGGGCGGCGGGAGGAGGATCGTGTTCCCACTTCTTTTGAAATAAACTCCGAAAAATGTTTACCACTAACGTACCCGGTCACGCGTCCTATTTCGGTACGCGCAGGATATCCCTGAGCGGATGGCAGACATCTCGCCGATTGCTTTGGAAGCGCAGGAAGAAGCCCACCCGACGCGCGCTCCCACGCGAGCAGCTGCTGCAGAGCCGCGCGGCGCGGCCCGAGGAAGGCTACAGCCGCCGCGCGCCGTCGCAGCACCCGCGCGGAGCCCGCTGCCCGCCGCGTGCCCATTGCTGGGAAGTCTGCAAGCTTACGTCCGTCTGAAGGCTTGTACCTAGGAGCAGCCGTCCCAGCTGATTTAAACAGCGAATGCCGGCAACCAGCAAGGAACGCGATTGCAGGCATTCGTTGAAATAAATGCGTTCCTTCCACTCCTTCCGATGCGCTCAGAGCAATCTGCCCATGTCACGCTCACGCCAGTTAACACTTTACAGCACATAAGCAGGTACGCATCGAATCCTACGACTAAGCGGGCTCTGAAATGTCTTTTTTGCCCGTTTGTTTTTTTAATTTAAGCAACGTTTTGTTTAAACCCAAGCTGAACTGTACGCTGTCACTGCAGACCGAACACAGCCGGTTCGGTACGGTCAGGGCGCTCCACCCGTACGGGAGACGAAAGGGTCCGCAGCCCGCAGCACCCAGCGCCGCGGGGGCACCGCGCTGTGCCGAGCCGCTCTTCGGCACCGGCAGAGCCCGGCTCAGTCTGGCTGCCCGCCGCGGCTTCTGTTCCCAACTAATTCCCGACGCTGTAACCGACAGCCGAGTCACTTCATTAAACTGACTGACTCCATCTGAAATAAGGTGTTCAAAACACGCATGTGACAGGGACACGGAGAATTAAGAGGGCCGGTTTTGAGGGGCAAACGGCGAAGGCAGGCTGGCGGTGCGCGAAGCAGGGAGCCGGGCAGGGTGCGAGTCGCCACGGCCGGGGCTTCGCGGCCGGCAGCAGCACCGAAGCGGCTTCCCGGCGGCTCCGAGGAGAGCGGCCGCCAGTGCCGTCTGAGCAGACGGAGGCGGAATGGGACACGCGGCGGGGGCGGAACGGCAGCACCTGCCGGACCGGGCCGGGCTGCGCCCAGCGCTGGGGCCGCCCCGCCAGTGCCTGCTCCCTCCCTCGCTCCCACCCTGGCCGCCCTCGCCTGCCCAGTGCCCATGCGCCCCGGGAGAGGTTTAAGGCGTGCGCGGCGGCAGCTGCGACACAGCGTTGCGGAGGTGCAACCCGGTGAGGACATCGGCTAGGTTGCGCTGCGCCTGTCTTCGCGCCCGGGAGCGTGCCCTACCACCATGCAGCTCACCCCCTTTCTCCTCGGTGCGTACCGCGTCTACGGGGCGACCCGAGCCGGTGCGACCCGGCCCGACCCGACCCGCTCTCTATCTCTCCGTAGGCGTCTTCTTGCTCTGCGGCCCCGCGCGCGGGAGTGACAGCTCAGGTGAGCGTGCGGTCCTCTGCCCCGCACGGCGGCAGGACGCGTCTGCGGGGCTGGCTTTGAGAGCCGGCGTGTCCTTTGGGGTATGAGTGGCGCAAAGGCCGGGAAAGGGGGGGATGAGAATGCAGAGGGGCACGGGAGGTGTATGGAAGTGTTTCCGCTCTTCTCCCTCCTGGTCTGAACGTAGCGGTAACAAACGTGTGTGCCCGGGGGAGTGCCGTGTGTGTGTGTGTGCCGCTGTGTGCAGCGGGGTGCCCGAGCACCGACAGCGCGAGGATCCCCAGCGCGATTTTGCCTGTGAAATCGATATGAGTTTTGTGCGCCCGCACCGCCGTCAACGCGACCTGGAAAGCAAAGAGCGAACTGAACGCACCTAGCGGTGCGGGAGCTGCTACGTGACCTGAGGGACTGCATCCCCGCCTCTGGAGAACGGGTGTCCGAAGCCTGTCAAACCGAGGCAACCGCGAGCCGCAGGAAACGCCGCAAGAAGTGTCCGACGGATGCGAGCCGCGCGGTCGGCCCTTCTAGCGCAGGGGAGGGCGGGCAGGAGACCCGGCAGCGCCCGCCTGGTTATCGCCCTGTCCGCGGCCGGTGAGTGACCTGCGGCTTCCGGGCGATCGCTCGGGGTCCCTTCAGCAGGAAGCGGTTGTTGTTATCGAGATAATAGCCGTACGTCACAGGACTGCTGTGACTGAAGAATAAAACAACAGAACAGCGACAGAAAACCTACAGCAAGCAACCCCGGTTCCTTTTGTTGTTTTACAGGTGCATCACAGGTGAAATATCAGCGGGAAGCAAATGAAAAGTTTTTTGTAATGCTTTCTCCCATGGCTGGAGAAGAAGCCTCTAATTAGAAGGTATCTGGGACCAACTAACGTAATGTTAAGGGGATGCTGGCAAATATGATTGAGCTAGAAGCATGCATAAACTTTTATGGGGGGGGAAAAAAAAAAAGGTTAAAATTCTGACATTCAAAGTAATGCGAGAACATCGAGCTCCCTTGAATATCTGCCTTATTTATGCTTGTAGCTACTCAGGGAGATCTTTTCTCATAGTTCCCTTTTAACAAATACACACAAATACAGCCAAGTACTACGACTGCGGCTGTCATACACGAGGTGACTGTATATGGATATATGTATGTATATGGTAATGACTGTGGTGGGTGCACACTGACATATGGTAGTAAGTGAACTTAATTTGAACAGAAAAGTGCAAATCTCAGATTAAAATAAGTAATACAGCCCTGATGCTTTTTAAAATTGCATTGCTCCTCGTACCGAGATACGTACTGAACATAGCACAAATAAGTATTTAATCTATGAACATGCTTTCCAAAATGTAAGCAGGTATATTTCTACCAACATGGTTTTCTTCTGCTACGGACAAGGCTGGTAGGAATAGTCAATGCATGACATATAAATCCAGGTTTGTCTGAAGCCTCAAGACAAAAAAAAAAAAAAAAATCAAACAAACCTCCAAACCTTCCTGTTCTGAAGAGGAAATTCAGACCTGTATAAAACATACATACAAAAAAAAAAAAAAAAAAAAAAAAAGCCCCTATCTATTTTATGGCCTGTAAAGATATCTTGGTCTTAGGAGTCCCTGACACTTATAACCTACATAGATTTTTATTTTTTTTTTTTCTTGCATGAAGTCTAATTTTCCAAAACAATACATGGAAATTTCAAGGTTAGAGCTCAAATCTCAGCATTGATTTCATTTTTCTAGAGTCTTAGTGACTCCTGTCAAAAATGAAGTGAGGACTTCTTATAGGTGGGCATAAGACAATGCTATTCAGAGCAAATCAAAGTATGTGGGATGAGGCAACAAAAATATCAAACTGATGGAAAGATTGAAAGCATGGTTACCAGTGTGTCAGCACAGAAGTGAGCCTTCACTTTTTTTTTTCTTTTTTTAGGTCTACAGCGAAGGAAGACATTCATCCCTGCCTTTAAATATGGCTTGAAACAGGAAGAAATACAGTTGTTGTTTGTTTTTTTTTGTGTACAGATTTTTCGGAATGCCTTGAAGTAGTGTCTCCATAAGGCTTAAGGAGTGTGTCTTGACAGAGCGGGTTTATGGTCATTTTTTATAGACTAAAGTGTTATTTTCACATATACAGAGGTCTCTGCTTTCCATTGAACTTCAGACTGGGTAGAGGTCTTGGACTGAGTCCTTTCTTGTTAACTGCAAGCTTATCCTTCCTCTATCTAAAAAATGCATGGCTTTAGACCTTAAGCATTCATGAAATTGGTAAGAGTACTGGGTCACATAAGTATCCAGAGAAATATTACAAGCACTGCTGTTCTTGCATTCTTAAATCACAGTGATTATGACGCTTGGGTTTTATGTTACTGGTTCTGCAAAGATAAATTACTGTGGATATGCTAACAACAACAACTACTTTCTTAAATTTGAGTAGCAGTGCCTCACAAAACTTGGCAAGAATGATTACCGTGTAAGCAGGTAGAGAACCTCTGTATGATCCAGTGTTCAGGTATGATTAATGCACTCTAAGTTCATATTGGGCTGCTTGTGATTTTTACAGGATTCATTAAATAACAGGGAGAAACAAAATCACTGCAAAGCTGGTACCATTAATTTTGGTACCCACTACTTACTATCTTGATAGTGTTCTTGATAGTGTTCCTGACATTGCTAATGTTAGTTCCAAAATTATAGCTTAGGAAGCTGTATCTACACAGCAAAATAAAATAAACTACTTTTTAATTAACAGCATAAGTACTTAAAGTCAAATTGTATGTTACAAAACTTTCATTGTTGATCCAACTGAGCTGTGAGCTGGTAAAGGTCCTAGCTGCAGTGTGTCAGCTCTTCACACAGCAGCAATTTGGTGTCTCCCATCTGGAGTACCTCTTACAAGGTACAGATGAGGATCTTTAGGCAGCCAGTACATAGAAAAGGTATTGGGCTTCAGTATACATCTGTGTTTCCTTGGCTAGAAAAAACATAGCCAGGTTTCTCCATGATCACCACCATCTTCAAAGTGATCAGAAATGTAAAATGTTGGTTTGACATGACTGTATTTAGAGAGTGTCTGCTAGTGAGAGAAACGCAGATCTCCAAGCAATAAGGCATGTGTTAATTAGACATATCCAATTGTATTCATATGTGCAGCCTGCCAAGGAACTCAGTCAGGGTAAGTACATTAGAAGTGGCAGGTATTACAAACTTCCTGTGGTGTTTAGCACTTTTGGAGGCTGGAAAAATGTTCCAGGGCACACAGCACAAGTTGTACTGCAAGACTGGATTACCTTTAGTGCCTATTGCAGTGATTCCTCTAAGAGTATCTAGCTTTCTGGCTGTTGTTTGATGGCCTTGGTAGTTGTCACTTGATGGATGTTATTTCATTATGAAATACAAAATATCTTAGCACTTCTAACACTGGAACTGATGAGCTTCTAGGTATAAGCATGGTCATTCTGCTTATTTTGCAGACTTCTGTTTTTAAGGCAAAGATGTAAGACTAAACATGGATAGGATGTGGATAGGGAAGACTGCGTAAGGCCTAAAAAAAATTTCTTTGTTTTTAGGAAACTTGATAATAAGACTAAAGAACTTTAGTGGCTCATACTAAGTAGACATCTTCTATTATTTTGAAAGGAGGAAGTGAAAAAGCATTTCCTGCTTTTATTTCCCCCTTCACCTGGACTATATAGACATACTCAGCATATTTAAGTAACATCTTAGTGGTGACAAATAGCTGCTAAGGTTTTTTAGGAAGATGTAATTAGATAGCTTACTGTAGTTTACATATAGTATTAATGAGGAATAGGTATACTTAAAAAGCAAAACTACACATATGTTCTGTAAACACATCTGTTAAATTTATGCAGCAGAAGTGATCAGACACGCTTCACTGTGTACATTTCCAGCTGTAGATGTTCTGATTGTTAGCTTTAAAGTCAGTGAGATTAGCAGGAGGCACCACAGCAATGTAATCTCTTCCATCTGCTGATTAGGAACAGCACATGCTCCAAAAGCAGTCTTTCAAATAGCGGCAGCTTATTTTGGGGTCAATAAACACTTTGGGTTAAGAGTAGAAAGGGTGGGGAGGGAAGCAGGCGTGAGATGGAACACTAATCCATGAAACACACGCTCATGGTGTATGCACCTAATTGTTAGCTAGACTCTGTCAGCTCTCAATATCATAGAAAGGCTACAGAAGAGGTTCTTGCACCTACTAGTTCTTAGTGGTGGCAAGACGTGCTCTTGGGAATTTCAGAATATCCAGTCATGAGTTGAACTTATGATGATGAATTGGTTGATCTAAGCTAAAACCCTAACTTGCTATGCTACCAGACTGCACCATTTAGCAGCAAGATGGTAGTTAAGTATACAAGATCATGACCTCTAAGTTTTGAAATGAAAAAGCTTCAGTCCAGCAGGCAAAACTTAACATTGGTATACACCTGTCTGTGTGTGTAGGTGTATGAACACGTAAGCACAGTAAAAGCCAAAGGATGATAACTTGGGGAGCAACTTTCAAGGAAAAAAAAAAACAGAATTCTTACATGAAAAATTCATGTGCTGAAAACCAGTAAATAATTTTAGTCTCACTGACTGAATCTTAGCATTATCTCCACAAATGTGATGATTTAATATTAATTGCAGTGAGCTGATATGAATGTCTGAGATGCAGTTAGTCTTGCTGGAGCAGAAAGATTGGTACTCCCTTTTTGCTTTTCTACTGGCTTCAGTAGGGTTTACTGCAGAAGCTCAGGGAGATGGCTGCTGTCAACCTGTTCCATGAATGACACCAGACAGAGGCTTCCCAGGCAGTACAAAGGTTGCCCATGGCTGCAGAGCACTATGAGGATGTCTGGGTTCTTTGGTTCCTGTCCTGGAGAGTGCCATTCCCTCTTGTGCCCGCCAGCCCTCTAGGTTTTTTTCCCTGGCCTTTCTCTCTGCGGTAAATTTGCACATGTTGTGAATTGCTGCTGTTTTCCTCTGTACTGTTCCTGGATATTATTCTAATGTTTAGTGTTTCCTGTTCTTTTTTTTTTAAAAGCTTTTCTGAACTTTTCTGCCTCTCTTTTTTTTTTTTTTTTTTTTTTTTTCCATAAATTGAGAACTGCATTGTACTTGTCATAGTTGCACACCTGTAAGTGCCAAAGAGACCTTTACAGACATACAGAAGCACAGGATGAGAGGCTGTACCTAATTTCAAATTCAAACAGTGCTTCATATTTGGCAACAGAGAGGCTTGCTTAAGAACAATAACAAAAAAATTGGATTTTTCAGGTCACAAGTTTTTCTTTTTCTTTAGCTTCCACTGCTATCACATGCTTTACAAGAGGACTTGACCTTAGAAAGGAGACAGAAGATGTCCTTTGCCCAGCAAACTGTCCTCTGTGGCAATTCTACGTCTTTGGGGATGGAGTTTATGCCTCTCTTTCCAGTGTCTGTGGAGCTGCCATACACAGGTAAGTCAGATGACTGATTGTTAATCCTTGTATTAAGTGAGTCTATATACAATCTTGCTATTTTCTAAATGCTATCCTTTTGATGCCATTATAATGAAGATTCTTAAGGACTTTAGATAGCTTCCTAATATAACTGGAATGTCATTAGAAGAACAGACCATACCTGTGGGGGTAAAAGTGGGTGGTTTGCAAGTGTTCTTGAAAACAACAAAGCTAGTGATGCTGAAAAGCAGCAGTCAGGCTTCCCTTGTAAGGTAACGTTTGTTACTAGCAGACGTAGATATACAATCTAAAAAAGCAACTAACAGGAGAATAAAAGCAAATTAAGTTTTTACTTTAGTTTCTATGACATCTCTCCTGAAACTGTTAAAATCTGTTTAAGCAAAAAAACCTAGGCATGATTTGGGTGAATGTCATCCATGTGGACAGTTTTTAGCATTTCATTTCTGTGTGGTCACTGGAGAAACCTTTCATGTTTGCTAGGCAGCAGCCTTAAACCTCTCCTTCCAGTGGCTGTGGTTTGACTGCTAAGGAAGCTCCATCCACAAAATCTGGGGGTGTTTGTTTCCCCCCTTCCCTGCAGCCCAAATTGACTGCATTAGCTGCAGGAAATCAGCAAGTGCTGTGGCTCAGCTGCAACATCTGCTTTACTCCAGTTTTTCATTTACTGTGCCTTAGTGGAATCTCTCATTAATTTAAGCGAGAGTTAGTAAAAGTGATTCTAATTCTCATAATTTTTTTAGAACAGCACCAGGAAAATCAACATTTTTACAAAAGGAGGTACAAGAAATAAAAAGTTCAGATTTTTTTTTTCCTATGTGCAATAAAGCACAGACATCTGTACGTCATGTAGCTCTCTGCTGAAGTTCGTATCTTATAAATTGTGTGTTAACTTTCTCCAACTAGGAAGCAAAGGCTTATGCAATATATTTTTTTTTCCACAGCATACATCAACACATATTATACTCTCTCTGAAATACGCAGTTTTAAAAACAAAACAAAAAGCTGTTTCTAACCACTCAAGTGTTCTAGCAGCAACAAAGGGATTAAAATGTATCTTCTAATCTGATTCTTCATATGCCAGTGTAAATGAACTAAATCCAAGTCTCCTGAATTAATTGTAGTTTAGCACTCTGGAGGGGAGGAAAAAAAAAAAAGGAATATAGGTGAAATATTCTTTAGAATATTCTCTATTCCCTTTTCCTGAAGGACCTCCTTTAAGCTAGATGCCACTAGTCCATCAACCTTTCACATTTAGCACAGAATTTTCTATCTATGAGCATTTCCCCAAGCTATGAGCACTTCCCCAAGAAGTGACAAATGCTGGTCCTAGTCAATATGAATTGCTGGATGAGGAGAGGAAACTGTTGTTCAGGTCTCTGCTAACTTCAGCCTACAGAAGCCAGTTAAAACATACCAAAGACTTGTTCCTTCCAGTTCTGTGTTGCAGTGGCTAAACTCCATCTTGGTGTCAAAGTAATTCAAAAAATATGTTGCTAATAGGTAATTACCTCTCTTGTTGTATAATCATATATGTGTTTTGAGAATTTCAGAAATTTCTTCCAAACGACTGAAACAATCACATGTAGTTCAAAGCTGTGTGTGCCATCATTTTGGGGAGAAGTGCTTATTTAAATTTTTTAAACTGAAGAATGACTGTGAGAATTGTTAGTTCCTCTTCCCAAACACACATGCCAGTTTGCATGTGCTGGGTCCAAACTGAGGCTCAATTCCTAAACTTCTACATGCACCAAATAATGCTAATTCCTATGAGTAGTTCTACTGTGACGTGACCATTACTGCAAGAAAAATACTACATTGTGCATTTTAAAGAATTTATCAGAATGTAGCTGTGAAGAATTCTGAATGCTAGATATGAATGAGTTTTCTGCTAGCTTTAGTTTGTTACATTTGGCTTTTTATCTTTTTTTTCTCTTCTTATTTTACATGTAATTACTCTCAGGAAACAGAGTATTTATTTAATACTGTTCTTTTTCTGGGCAGAAGAAATTGTTTTAGTTGTCAGGGGGAAGAATGGAGAACCTCCTACTAAGCTGATGCTATACAAGCATGAAGAATTGAGTTAAATCTACTACTGAGTGATTAATTGGATTAATAATCAGAAGGTCAAATTAAGGACTCAGTTCTCAGTTTGTGCAGCTCTGTTCTGCCAATTCTGCTAAACGGAGACCTAACTTAACACAGTGTTTAGATGCTAAATAGACATGCACATTTTTTTATAACTAGCCACAGGCTGGGAGCACCTCTAAATAAACATCAAGTTCCCTCAAATCAAGTGAACAAAACCAAATTGTGGTATTAGCAAATATGGCTGTAAATCAACTACAAGCACTGATGGACCCTGAGCAGCTGTAACATTTGCTACAAGGCTACTGATAGAAGGGTTGTCTGGCTTCTGAGCACCAGCAGATCCCCTGGAAAACTTTGCTGTATAGGCTGCTTCTGCTGCTGAGCCTTCTTTCTTGCCAAAAGCAATATAGTGCAGAGCAGGCAGAGTAAGCAGAACCTAGAGGGCCAGAAGATGCTGGCATGAAACCCGGAACAGCTCCCTGTTGCTGAATTGATTGTAGTCAGGCAGCAGTAGGTGGCCGCAGCTTGGAGAAGGGAGTGGGGAAAGACGAACAATGTGAAAAGAGTTTCTGCTGGTAAAAGGGAGAAAAGATGATTTGGCTGTCTTGTCTGTTTTTTTGCCTCCTGAAAATAACTCCTTTCATCCAAGGGCCCTACAGGAAATGCTGCTGCTTATCACAGTTAGCAATGGTAATAGGAACTTCAGATCAAAATTACGTTCCTTGTGCGGCAGCTCTTTCTACCCTCCCTTGAGGTAAAAAAGCAGGTTATGGACCCATAGGTATTTATGATTAATGTGATGATTAGCATAAAACCATGCTGTGTGAGATTCTGAGCAAACACTTAGCTTCTGGTCTGCAAGATGAGTCTGCTCAGTATGTACCACTACTAACAGTCCACTTCAGAGAATCACAGAATGAGCAGGGCTGAAAAGGACCACTGCTATGTGCAGGGTTGCCAACCACTAGACCAGGCTGCCCAGAGCCACATGCAGCCTGGCCTTGAATGCCTTTAGCAGCATTTGCACCACTTGCAGCACCGCTACCCTTGTGCTCAGTGCCTTTCCTTAGAGTAGAACACCTTGTTAATGCTGAAATCTCTCTCCTCACTATTTGACAGTAAGGAGAAATCTGAAGTGCTGTTTGCATTTGCCAGTTTTTAAACCTGACTTTAAACTCAAGCACTCAGGATAACTTTATTAAAGTTCCTCTGTCTATACGACATACATATAAAAGATAAAAAGGTACCTGAAACCACCATCATAATTCTTTCACTGCATAAGAATAAAAATATATATAACCACAATTTCATATAGAAATGCAAATCATGTCTGAGTGTATTTTAAGTAGGCCACAAGGAGATTTATGTGGAAACTCTGATACTGACACCCAGAGCTCATATTACCACAAATACATACAAGATTTTTCTAAACTCTGGTCTTGATTATTTCACAGTGCTTTAAATCAATCAAATTGGGACCTTTCTTCAAGCAGGAAACCAAACAGATAAAAAAAGTAAACACAGAGTCACACATTGCAGCATTTCAGTAATCTTGAAACAGTTGTTTGTATTCCACAGTACTGTACCTGCCCAAATGCTACAGATTGTTAACTTTTTCCTTCTATTTAGACAAGCTCCACATTGAATTTTGGCTCTGAATAATGGAATCCATTCTCCCAGTAGCATATAAAAAGAAATCTGGGAAAAAAAGTTCTGAAGCCTCTGACTGTCCCAACACTGCAACCTCTCTGCCTGCAGTAACAAATGAAGTTCTCTTTTTAACCCTGAAGTTTCTTATGCACATGTATCTATTGTTCTCTTGGATGTTCATACATCCTATAAGTCTCAGTAGTGCTGACAGTCTCAGCACGTAAGTATCAGCAAGATTTTCAAACTAGTCTTGCATAACCAGCAGATCTGGCAGGCAATCTCAGAACGTGTTCATTAAGCCATGAAATGAAGCTCGATGAAAGAATAATGATAGTGGCCTTCTCTAAGGAGGTTTTGGGCTCAAATCTCTACTCAGTTTTAGAAAACTTCCTCAGTGTTTTCTTTTCACTTCTACATTTATGTACTGACTGTTCTAGGGTGGCAGAGGGGGTATAATAGTCTTATAATACCAAAAGTGATTTTGTAAGATCTTTTTAATCAGTAAGCCTTCTGGCTTTTTTAAATTAACCCATCATAACTGTGTATTTAAGATGTGTATGCTTAAAGTGACGAAGATAGGAAATAGCAAATCATATCTAAGTATTCCAAAGTTTGAAGTTTCTAGTTTACGTTTCTATCAGTGAAAATTACTCAGCTGTATAGCTTCTACTGCCAATACACTATGTCCAAGTGTAGAGAGAAAGCAATCAGGGATTTTACGTTGATTGAATACGCGTTCTATTTATTTTATTAAGTTCAAATATCATACCTTAATTTTTACTATGGGTGAAAGTGAAGAAGAAGATATTTTAGGTTCCGTTCTTGTATATATCAGTAATCTGATGATTGCCATCAATAATGTCTACAATTTCTTACTGCAGTCTGTGTGGATGCATAACACAGTATCTACCATAACAATTACTACTGCAAGCAGTGTTTTCCTCCAGGTTTTTTTAATCATTTTGCAGTAAGCATGCTTCATTTTGTTTTGGATACAAATATTTAGGAGTCATAAAGAATGTAAATATATTTTTTGCTGTAGCTTTTTCATCAGGAATTAGTGTGTTCTGCTGCAGTGAGAACAGCTGGAATTTTAGAACTTCTTGGTATTTTTTTCTAAGCCTGTGTGATGTCCTGCAGAATAGCTTGCCTTAACAATCTTTTCAATCCCTCGTAGTTAGTTTTAGCATGAACACAACCAGTTGCCTAAATGGTATCTTTTTCAGGAGGTTACTGTTCAATATATAGTGTCCAATGATTATAAAGCTTTATTTTCTTGTAATTAAAATGTCTGATTTGTATTAATTTTTTTTTTCCTCTCTCAGAGGGGTGATCACCAATGCAGGAGGAGCTGTAAGAGTACAGACTCTCCCAGGACAGGAAAACTACCCAGCTGTAAATGCCAATGGGATCCAGTCTCAGGTGCTCTCTAGATGGGCTTCATCTTTCTCAGTGACTCGTAGGTGGATCACACTTACTACTTTGCAAACTGTATTCCAGATATTAACAGAAGGCTAGGAAACTTTTTCAGTGTGCTTATATATACAAATAATGTGATTTGTATATGAAATGCAAAAATTTTCACTTCTAACTAATTTCACCTTCATTTTTTTTGACTATTTGCTTGAAATAAATCCGTTCTAGCTAGATTAGTCCTTCTAGATAATACAGAAAGTCTCTAGACTACTTCTAGTAAACTGTTGGAAATTCAGTATTCTTATAGCACACAATTTCATCTAAATACGCTGAAATAACATTAATCTGTTCTTCTAATATTTTAGCAGGTACCAGCAACCTGGTGCTTGAAGCAGTGGGACGATCAGTGTCAACAGCACGGCCTGCTACAGGTACCAGCCAGATCTCTCCAACAGTGGAGGTCCCCTGCGTTAAGATGTGCTATAGGGCTCGAGTCCCTGACTAACACGCTAAGTTTCACAGGATGTATTTATAAAGAAGAAAGCATATGTGAAATTCATTTCTCTGTGTATCTCATCAGGAAAAGGAAGAATTATAATCAGATTGATTCTGATTTCATAGCATTTGTGTAAATGAAGAAACACTTGAATGAATTTGGAAAAGTGATGTAGGTAACATAAAGGAAGAGTCTGTGAGCTCATGGGATATTCATTCCTATTAAATGACAGAGAAGATGGATTATGCATTCCTTTTCACAGAAATACTTAACAACTAAGTGCTGTCAGGATTTATGAAGCAGAAATTTGGATGGTATGTGAATTTCTATACAGAAAATATCACCACTAAAAGGCTAGATCAGTTTTTATGAAGGTTAGTGGCATATACACATTGGACTTAGGTCTCATTTGTGAACAGCACATCTGCTCTACAGTTTAAGTCCCAGCTTGCTTCCAAAGCACAAAAACTGTCCCTGTTCAGCAGATAGTTAAGTGAGAAATAGTGAAAACTGAGAAACAGTAGGGCTTGGGATGCTGAGTGGTTTCTGTATAAGCCTTTCTGTACACATTTCAGTAATCAGCTAGACAGGTGTAAAAAGGAAGGTTAAATTGTTTCATCTGAAAAATAATATTCTCCAAAGAGCAAAGAAATAGCACTGCATCTGTAACTATTGAACTGACTGAAGAATGATGCAGTTCCATGCCAATTTTCACTGAGGACAGACTGCAATGCAACTCTTAAGAGTCTAAGCTTCTTCCATACGTCTTGTTGTTCTTAAATGATCCATGCTGTATCCTTTATTAAAGGCAAAAGACCTAAGAAGCCCCTTGAGAAAAAGGCTGGAAACAAAGGTAGGAATTCAGAGGTTTAACTTTTGAAAAACACAATCCTAACATTTATTTGGTGCTAAGTAAGTCTAATTATTTTGAATGCTCACAGACTGTAAAGCTGACATTGCATTTCTCATTGATGGAAGTTACAACATCGGCCAACGTAGATTTAATCTGCAGAAAAACTTCGTTGGAAAAGTAGCGGTAATGTTGGGAATTGGCACGGAAGGGCCTCATGTTGGAGTTGTACAAGCCAGGTAATAGCAGACATAACCAAGAGACAATTAAGAGAACTAATGTATGTTTTGCAGAACAGTGTTTGCTCGATAATGGCGGAAGAAAGCAAGAGAAGATAACTCAGCTTGGAGCATTGTTTGTTGTGCTACCCTGAGAGATGTCCATGTGAAGACATAACAAACCTGATCATCTTCTGCCTCTGTGACACTTACACACAAATGCATTTAGTTTAACACCTGGCATGATCAAATTTTTTTCTGTATACATTTTAAACCTAGTATTTCCTGCCGCTCAATAAGCTTAAGAAATGTGCTGCCCTTAATTTGTCCACTCTGATAAATTATTTCTCTGGCTACAGATTCAGTACATTATTATGTAAGGATTATTGTCTACATTTTTAATTACTGTATATGAACAAGAACAAAATGATTCAAACTCAAATTTAGCTTGCTAATACCATGGAGGTCTGAAAAGTAGACTACGTAGTTCATTAATGTTTTATTTTTCTGCAGTGAGCATCCAAAAATTGAATTCTATCTGAAAAACTTCACTGCCGCAAAGGAGGTTTTGTTTGCCATAAAGGAATTAGGGTTCAGAGGAGGCAATTCCAACACAGGTGAGTTTGTACCTCAGTGAAAACAGATGTTATTACTTTACATAAGTGAAACATATTTCTATCTGTACATATTTAAGAAAGTAATTTAAATGCTCCATTTTCAATTCCATTTTCAGAAGTTCAGGTTGCTTACTGTATATTTTATTAGTGCAAATGTGTGTTAAAACAGTAATCAGCTTTTCACTTCTAACAGAGTGGCATTGTGAGACAAATTCTTGTCTAAAAGGCTTTACATTTCTTTCCTATTGAATGGTAGTGGCTAGTTAAGTAATAAGTAGTTGTGAAGGGATATTTGCCAAACAAGGAAGCTAGGCTTTCCAGATATGTTGTATTTTACAAGCTAAATTTAATTAGCTTCTCAAATTTTTTCCCTCCAATTCAGATAGCAGGCACTAATATATCTGCTTAGCATAAAACAAGACCTGTAGGGAGGGAAATTTGCTTTAACTTTTTATTTGAAATAGGCAAAAGGTTACTCAAGCTTCATAATTACTCAGATATTCTGAGATGCTGTTTCCTTGGTTTGCTGAGTTACACCTGTAGTCGTAATTAAAATTCAGCACAGTTTTATCTACAAAACTGGTACCAAAATGTTACTGTATTATTTCTTCACATTCTTTTTCTGTTCAAAACTAGGGAAAGCTCTGAAACATGCAGCTCAGAAATTCTTCTCTATGGAAAATGGAGCACGCAAAGGAATACCCAAAATCATTGTAGTGTTTCTAGATGGCTGGCCCTCAGATGATTTAGAAGAAGCTGGTATAGTGGCCAGAGAATTTGGAGTCAATGTGTTCATTGTGTCTGTAGCAAAACCCACAACAGAGGAACTGGGAATGGTACAAGACATTGGTTTTATTGACAAAGTAAGAGAATGTAATTATTCATTTTTCATTCATGGGTATGTCTAGATAATGTACTTCATGCTGGAATTCTAATGAGCTAAGTCTTACACATATAATAAAAGATATTCTTCCAAATAATACAAGAGGAAAAAAACCTAAGAAATCACTAGGAAGCCTAAAGTAAGCAGTAGCAGAGATTTGAATAAATCTATTAGTTTCTTCTTACTAAATTACATGCAACTGCTGGACTATTTTCTTGCTAAAGGGTCTGCACAAAGGTACCAAAATGCTGTTGCCATCCTCCCAGTGCAGAGCCTTGGCAAAGCTGTAGCTCTTGGACTTTGCGCTGCACGAAGATTTTCATAGCAAGGGATTCTCCTATCTCAACCATAACTAAACTTGTTGAAGCAAAGAAGTACGGGTATATGTCCTATCATGAAATGACAGGGAGACCTATCTTTCAGTATATGATCTGAGGAATTGTTTTGTTACTTCGGCTACAACAAGGACAGAAAAGATTGACAAATGCATCCTACTGAGTTTGTATGCAAGACATTCATCTTGGATGAACAGTTTTCAATCTTGCTCTATAGGAATCAATAACAGAACTCAAACAGTTCTCACAAGTGCTTTCTAAGCACTAGTTTACTACTTCGTGTTTCATAGGTAGGTTTTAAATATTTTATTTCAGCAGAAAGTTCATAACTTAGCATGAACAAAGCACTGTGGCTCTGCAGCTTCTATGCACAAGACAGTTTGCTTCCGATCCCAGACAGGTCCAACTTGTGTGGACTTACAGACACAGAACAGAATGGCCTTACATGGCCGAGCCTTGTCCGCTTGCCTTCTGCATTTTGATTTGAGCAACATTGCTTACCACAGTTGGAGAGCCAATTTTAAATGTAATCCCCTTCTCAATTGCTTTGCACTTGACATACATACTGTACCATATATGACATATACTATAGAAACCAAAGGAAAAACAAATTTTACTTCAAAAATAACCTGGGCATATATTTCTACTCAGATATGCGTCTGTACTTACGATGTGTGACAGGTTTGGCTTTTTTTTTTTTTTTTTTTTTTTTTTTTTTTTTTTTTTTAAGATTATGATGTTAAAATGGAAAATACAGAAACCTAATTTTCAGTGAGTGAAGAAAAAGGCAAAACTTCCACTCCTTTGGATAGTTAGCAGCCAGAGCTTAGCTCACGTCCTAAGAACATAAGTAAAATTTCAAGTTTTTAAGGTTCTCAGTAATAAAATGAAATGTTCTGAAATTTCTGATGGGGAAAAGTTTAATTGTCTGTTTACTGTGTACAGAACCTATTTTGGTAATTTGCCTTTTGACTTTTTGTTTTCAAATAGGCTGTCTGTCGAAACAATGGCTTCTTCTCTTACCAAATGCCCAGCTGGTTTGGCACCACCAAGTATGTAAAACCTCTTGTCCAAAAACTGTGTTCACATGAGCAAATGTTGTGTAGCAAGACATGCTATAACTCTGTCAACATAGGCTTCTTGATAGACGGTTCTAGCAGTGTTGGAGAGAGCAACTTCCGACTCATGCTTGAATTCATCAGCAATGTTGCAAAGGCTTTTGAGATCTCTGATATTGGTTCCAAGATTGCAACTGTGCAGTTCACGTATGACCAGCGTACTGAGTTCAGCTTCACAGATTACACCACAAAGGAAAAGGTCCTCTCTGCTATCCGAAACATTCGTTACATGAGCGGTGGCACTGCTACTGGTGATGCCATTTCTTTCACAACCAGAAACGTATTTGGGCCAGTGAAGGATGGAGCAAACAAAAATTTCCTTGTAATTCTGACTGATGGTCAGTCTTACGATGATGTTAGAGGACCTGCTGTTGCTGCACAAAAAGCAGGTAAATGATCCTCATAGGCAGTGGGAGTTGATTCATCCCATTTCTGCTGTATTGTCTGTATCAAGATTTTAAATTTTAAATTATGCTCTAGAGAGCAAATAAAGTAGCATACTTGTCTTAAGTTTAGCAGAACAGGAGCTCTGAGGAACTGTTTTCTATTAGGATGAAAAGTGGGAATATCAAGCCAGGTGTAAGTAGACTCATTCATGGCAACTTCATCTAAAATTTTTCAAAAGGTGCAGTCTTTTCTTCCTAAAAAAGAGAGAAGTTAGTAGATGAAAAATAAAGAGCCATGTAGTGAAGCTCCAACCAGTGATAGCATCTAATATAGCATTATTTTTGTTCTCCATCATATATGGGGAAAAAAAAAAAGTAATTTTGACCAAAAAACATCTTGGGCTTCTGATGCTTGAAAATACTAAGCATTAGGTACGTGAAGGATCCAAATGTATTTTCAAAATTCTTCTAAACAGTAAGTCTTGAAAGACAAGAATTGCTGTGTCACTGCTATGTTCGTATTGATCACCGAAAAACATCTGTGATGCTTACTGGTAAGATACACTAGTATTTCTATCACGGTTCTTTGTTAGACAAGTACTTAATTTCTGATATTTAGTGGCAAAAATCTAATAATCTTTGATAGACTACAGATATTGAAGCACTATTTTCTGTTCTAGATTATTCAATGGATGTAGAAATTGCTTGTTTTTCTTGCAGCAAGGACAAAATGATTTTATGTATTTTCTCTCTTTGCTATACTCTTACATTTTAGGAATAACGGTCTTCTCTGTTGGTGTTGCCTGGGCACCTCTGGATGATCTGAAAGACATGGCTTCTGAACCGAGGGAATCTCACACCTTCTTCACTAGGGAGTTCACTGGATTGGAGCAGATGGTTCCTGATGTTATTCGAGGCATCTGTAAAGATTTTTTGGACTCTAGGCAATAAGACAAATCTGCTGTTGGATAGTTTCTGAAACTAAAATTGTGAGGCTGGAACGGTCCCTTTTAAATAGAAAAATTTCATTACATATATTATCATCATTATGGGATAGAGAAGGGCTACTTTCTGTAGTCAGTTGAGGGTCTTGTGAGCTTGTTAGAGGTTGTACTTGATATGGGAAAGCAGAATTTGGCCAACAGCTATTATTACTTCCAGTACATTTATAGTAGCCTGAGTTTTGAAGCTATGCATATTGTGCACTTATGGCTATCAGTTATCAGCAGCAGAAACAATAGAGTTCTGATATTTTTGCTGTCACTTCCTAGGTGCCTTCTTACAAGTTAAAAATAATACAATTTTAAATACACAATAATATCTTCTGTGAACCTTCCATAGCTTATGATTCTGTATCTTTTTAAGGAGTTCTTTTCATAGTGTTAAGTATTTTCAGTGCTTCAGTTGTGCAATACCCATGCCAGGCAGCTTAAAAAGATATAAGGCAGATGTTTCTCTACTTAAGATATAAACATAATGATTTACAGAGTCATTAAGGTTGGAAATGGCCTCTGAGATCACCAAACCCAACCCTAACCCATCCCCACCATGCCAATCAACCATCTTGGTACGGAGAATGATATTGCCATCTGGTTGGCACAGTTTACACCAAAAGGCATTTATTTACACCCATAGAACAGCATGGTTCTATGACATCATCTGGCACAGAAGCATTGAGAAGCATTTACATCATAGCAGTTCTCTTTGTAGGTCTGAGTCCTAAATATTACAGTTTCCTTACCACTGAAGTCAACTGGGATATTCCTTATATATCTGCTTACCTGCATTTTCTCTAATACCTTATGCTCTCGATTTCAAGAAATTATTATTGGCTGCAAAGTTCCAGATGGGAAACTTGGGCAAAGGGATTAAATTAGAACATACACTGGGGAATGAGCTACCTTTGGATTTCAACCTGGGTGTTTTCAAACCTTGAAACATAACTGGTTTATATAGGATTACAAGGTTAGAAAAGAAGAGAGCAGATGCAAGTGGGATGTGGTAGCTTGCAGAATAACAAGTTCCTAATGCTAGTAAAAATGTTTTTGGAGATGTGTTTCCCTAAAGATGAAAGAACAGTCTTCCTGAAAAATGACCTTTATTTTATTATGAATTTAGAAATATATTAATATTTTTATACCTACATTCACATGGTTAAAATTATGACATGGCTTCCTGAGTTCTTCCAGATGCCAGGAGTGAATAACAGACTTCAAGCATTCTTTAGAAAATAAAGGCTTTTTGCAAGTAAAATACAAGAAAGAAAATCAACCAGCACTTTTCCCATCAATGCAGAATTTTTTAAAAATTTTTTTTTTGGGGGGAGGGGGGAGGGGGGCTATTGATTGCTAAATTCTTAGGTATGGAGTGGCACTGAAGGGATTATATTCATCAGGCTTTTGTTGTGTATTTTTATATAACTTATGACTGGCTATATATTACACTAAACATGAATGGCAAGGATGCCATGTATTTTTCTATTAATTGTTATCCTTAATGTTGTCATGTGTTTATAGAAGAGAGTATTCAGCTATTGCTGTATAAATTCATATCAACTTTGTGAAAAAGTTTAATTTAGCAATTTTTTATAGAAATTTATGTAATGCAAAGAACTGGGACTACAGATATTTCAGTATCCTGTAATATAAAAGTCTTTTTACGGTGAGCCTCATGTAGTACAGCTTGAATAAGTTGTATGTCACATTTCCTGTCTAAATTATTTTAAATCCCCCGTTGGGGTAAAAAAGGAAAAGAAATCCTAAATCATCCTCAGAAGACAAGAATATTTCTTACACAGATTATTTTGGGTTTTTTTTTGTTGCTGTTTTTTTAATTTGGATCAGTCAGTACCAAATTTTTAATAGTTGTTTATATTAAATATGGTGCTAGCTGAATGATCTGAATATAAATCATGCAAACTGGCCAGCACAATCACATTTTTCCTCCCAATTTACTTCTACTGTTGCAAAGAAGATGGCAGCTTTACTGATGTCATTCCTTCACAGAGGAAAAAGATGGTCTGGATTTCCAGAAACTGCAGCACTAAACTGCCCAAATATTTCCATTTTACCAGAATGGTGATGACATTATTTGTACTTTCACAGTGCCCAATTACACTGAGGTAAGAAATAGCAGGTACAGAGAATACTTCTTTAAATAGGTAAAGTTTATACAGAAGCAAGCATTTGTAAGAACAACTCTGATCTGGAAGTAAGGTCTGTGAGGCACAGCAAAAAGGACTGAGAGCTAGTGAGATACAGAGACACGGTGGAAAGGATGTGAACTGTGCTGTGAGTAGGCTGGTTTGGAGGAGTAACAGCACGGTACAGAGTAACAGGTACGGATTTGAAGCTTGCTTTTGGGTGAGAGGGAAAGCCACATCATGAGAGTTCAGCCTCACGCTGCTGGACCAAGCAGTAAAACAGAGTTGCAGTCACCATCACTCTTGCAAACTCTATTTGGAATACTCCTGCACGTATTAGAATTGCCACTCAGGAATGTGGCCTGCTAGAGAACAACTCTGTTCTCTGCTGAAAATGATCACAGACTCATAGAATGGTTTGTGTTGGAAGGGACCCCAGGGTCCTTTCCAACATCAATCATCTATTTCCAAGGCAGGGCCACCAACCTCCGGATCTGGTACTAGACCAAGTTGGTAGGGTATGAGACCATAGGATGAAAACTTATCTGCCCTTTTCCCCCAAAGAGTACTGGTAATGCTCACTACTGTGAATGGCCTCAGACTGGCAACCCCACTGATGAAAGCAGTGTATCTGACAGCTGCCTATCAAAAATTAAGATTCTGTCACTCTGAAAAGAGTAGAGGAATACAAGCTTATTGGCTTAGGTACCTATTGCAACTGAATTTTATATTACATAGTAGTTAACACATCCAAAATCACCCTTCCCAGCAGAGCACCCAAAGCAACCTAAATGTAGAAAATACCCACTTCCTGTCCTCAAGACACTGAAACTACTTTTAGTATCACAAAAACTTCCAGTGAGGGCTGTAGCTCTCACACTCAGGAGCGCAGGAATCTTTCACTACTAGAAAACTAGGAAGTAGCTTAATCTGTTCCTTATATTTCCTGGGTGTTTTTTTGTTTTGTTTTTTTTTTCCTCATAGTAAAAATAACTGAAGGAAGAACAGAACTTCCCCTGTCAAAAGAACCTTCCAACCTTCAAGGAAATGCTGAAAGCATTGACCCCAGGCTGAGATCCCAAACCAGGGGTTGCATACACGGAGAACATGTTAGACATTCTCCCACTCACTGTTCCCTGCATGCTACTTAAGCAGGGAAGCATACGGACTGTATCCATACAAAGCAGCTCCCTGCTCAACACGCGGATCATCAACCACTGTTATCCCAAGCTGCCAGCACAGCCCTTGGCTCAGGATCTCTGACTCCACTCCTAGAATAAGACATTGCAGATTTTATACCTCACACACCTTCTAAGCATTTAGATCCTCCCTCACTATGAACTGCCTTGTAGATGCATCTTTTGACAGTGCAAGACACTTTCCAGCTAGTATTCTCATCTGACAGAGGTTGTATATAGGAAAAAAAGGACATAACTGAAGGTCAGCAGGCTGCAGAAGTCTTCATGCCATCAGGCGCTTCTGTCACCTTTCATATTTATCCTCATGTGTAAAAAGACCACCTTGAAAGCTGACCTTTATTAGTAATTCACTTCTGGTGACTTAGTAATACTTAAACCAGAGAACAAAAAAGACAAGAAAACAAAACAACAAGAAACAGATGAGTTTGTCCTAACATTCTTAAGAAGGAACAATCACTTGGAGGGAATTTACTTTGGCTCTCAAACTCGACGCCAAGGAAGAGCTACACAGTAACCATCTATAAACCATTTACATCAAAACTCAGCAACTACACTTCTCCATATCTTCTGAAGTAATTGGGGGATAGGGAAGAGGTGAGGGCTCCTGAGGGCTTTGATTTTCAACTTACGAACTGGAGTAGTTTCAGCAGAACAGTATTTTCACCCGTAACTGTTTGCAGTCCTATTTGCATTTCATATTAGTGTTGCCACATGTCTTCTATGAAGTATGGCTCCACACAATACAAATACTCTGTTTTCATCTCCTCTGTTCTGAAGACTATAAGCAATGACAACTTTTGATGTCTTGATTTTGGGCCATCTTTTTAATGGGGCAGCTTCTCAAGCTCTCTCAGTCACTGCTTTTAGATGCAGAGATTCTGGTTTGCTCAGCACTTCCCTTCCTTTCATTAGGCTTGTGGGTAAGTTAGCTCCAGTAAGCAGCAAAGCCACAAAAATCACAGAAAATTTCTCTGCTGCACGCAAGTGCCATTGGAGGCCTGAGAACTCTGTCATAGAAGATCAGCTTGTATCTTTAACAAACTGTCTGGAAGCTGGAGGCTTTAGATCCCCAGCCTACTAACGGCAGTCCAAAGAAAATCATGCTGACTGGCTTTGGTTTGGACCTAGGACAGGAAACAAAGGATTGTCTTGAGAAACTGAACTGGAGTGTGTTTGAAAAGCTTGTGATCAGCTGTCATCCAAAAATAGACACCAAATAAACAGAAACCTTGACTGAATACTTTGTAATCTAAGCAAGAGCGTCTTCCAGTTACATATGTCTATCAACTGCAGCACAAATTCTTTTATTCTCTTCAGCTTCCAGCAGGGATTCTGCCTGTGGTTTCAGCTGAAGGAAGAATAGATCCTGAAAATTTGCAGTCTATGATAAAATCCAGAAGTTTGATTTCTGCTTTGAAGCAAACTGCCTGTTTTAAATTTAATCTCATTAGGATCATAATTTCCTTTTCCTTCAAGTAATCAAGTTCAGTTAGTGAAGTATCCTCAATCATAAGTCATTTTTATTATGTAAAAGATATTGTTTTACTACTCTAACATTTATTTGCATTTATCTGTGCCTGCATACAAACTAGTACCGCATCCTTCCTCTTTTCCAGGACTAGAGAAAGCTCTAGCTATCCCTAGATAGGGAATGATGACACAATGAAGGAAACAGCACTGCTTCTGCAGTCCACTTATTAATGGGTGGACAGTGCTGCTCCCTTGCTGCCCTCAGACCCAGGGCACCCTCCTGGAAGCCGGCCGCTGTCGGCTTGAACCTCCCCAGCCTCAGGGTAGCAGTGAACTCACAGCTAAACCTCGCCCTGGACCAACCCCTAAGACACAGCCATGAGAATTCTGCACGGCTGTTTGTACTAGCAAATACTAACTAAACTTTTTCAGCCTCCGCTGAGGTCAGATGCAGCCTTTATGACCTAGCAGCAATCAGAATATGGCAGAATGTAAGCAGAGGGATAACAACTATTTTTCTGCCCTGGTGTATGTGATCAGATTACAATACGATAAACAATTCTCTGCCAAGGAATACAAGTAAAAGAAAGACAACATCACGTCAAAAAATTGGCAAAGTTTGGGAAAGTAAAAATGAGAAAAAAAACACACTACTTGTTTACCAATAACTTAAAAGTGCATATGGTTTTGATTTAAAATAAGCTTTTTAACGGTACAGTTTTTTTGATTGGGAACTTATTACTTCTAAGTAATTTCAGCATTTCTCTGACACTTGCTCTTACATATTTTAATAACATTATACTTCTCTAAGAGAAAATGGCTTTATCTCATCTAAAGATTCTGACTGCAAAGAAGCACACAATGTTGCTACACTGACTATGCATTTTAATTAGCGCTAAAAGTTGGTTTAGAAGCAAGACGTAACTGCACTGCACAAAGACACATCAGCAAAGACTTAAAGTGAGCTGACCTGCTCAGATGTAAAATGTGGACCAGAGGGAGCTGCATGTACAATTAAAAGAAAACAGCCACAATTAATTGCCTTTTCAAGCAAAAATAGCCACCAAAAAAGTTTCCAGCAGAATGTAGATACGCACCATGGAAACAGTCAGACGTCAGACAGATCACTGAGATTATCAAAACTCCTTTAGCCCTCTGAGAAATTTTCTGCACAGCTACTGTTAGCATATCATCTTAACAGAATGCAACGCTTTTGTTTTGAGTGGCAGTCAGTCACCTGGGCTATCAAAGGCAAAAGAGTAAAAGAACTAATGCACACAACTCCAGTACAGCTCCTGTTTCATAAACAACTACCGTAAAAACAAAGCTATACCAACAAGCGTTTGCTGCCACTAAGATGCTGTATATTTCCCCTTGGAAAGAAAACAACAAACCCAACACTGCACATTAATCAAACAGCATCTCAACAAGAAAACCACCTATTCCAGGTTGCAAAGTAACAGCTATAAAGACCCCTGAAACTACAGGAAAAGAACTCTAAAGCAACAGCAAAGCAGGCCAGCCACCTGGAAGCTGCCAGTAGCAAACGTTCTCCATACCACCCCCGAGGGAAAATGGCTCCGCAGGCCAATGAAAGAAAGAGCGCGAGGCCCTCAGCCAGCCACCAGCCTTGACAAACCCTCTTCAGGAGCTCACTAGGCAGCACCCGGCACAGTCGCAGAAACACAGGGTGCACACGCGGTGTTAGGGATACGGAACCAGCAAGGCGAGCACCACTTCCCCTCCGCCCAGGCCTCCCACCCCGCGCCGGCCTGCCCGGGCCTACTCACGGCCTGCTGCCAGCACCAGCATCCCGGGTCCCGCTCAACGGTCGTCGCCGTCGCCTTCGGGCCGCCTCCGCCTCACGAAGAGCACGTGAACGCGGTCGCAGCCGCCGCACCGGCGAGTAACGCCTCCCGCACAGACCTGGAGCGCCGCTCCACACGGGCCCGGGCCCCCGTCTCGTTCCTTCATTCCTGATTAATTTGTGCAGCAGTGAAATGTAAACCTCATCCCAAGCGCCGCCAGCAACAGCAGGGCAGAAGCGCGCTTTACAGATTATATACTCCCACCGACCCCTCGCGTTTCAGCACTACCCCCAAGGCTGAGCAGCCCTGCTATCGCGGCGCTGACCGACACAGCCCGTGCACGGGGCCGGCTGGCACGCGGCATGCACTGCGCTTCACAATTAAGCCACACAGCTGAACGCTATCGGTTACCACCCAGCTGTTATCAATACCAAAATTAAGATGAACGGGAACTGGCAACAAGTTACAAGTTTCCTAGTAAGGTTCTAGATCACAGAAAACACACCTCACCGTGATAACTACTTAGTTTGGTGTGCATGCAGAGCAAGGAACCCGAAACTACTGCTGAACGACACAACTGTCACTGCACCGACCGCAGCCAAGGCTCCCACAGCACTGAGATTCAGCGATTCCTGGAAACGAGTCCTATAATCTAGGCTTCCTCACATTGCTTTTTTGTGTATCACTAGGGAATTCTACAGAGATATTAATTCTCATAAAAACCATAAATATTTAAAAACAAATACTTTGTTACTCTATGCACACTTAAGAGACTGGATGTCTTCTACCCCGGGTGGCAGGCATTGAAAAATCAGATAAGAGGAGGACTAAAAAGAAAGGCATGTTATTTCCCACCAAGTCAG